GATGAGATGATGTAAGGCCTATTTAGGTTAGGCATAGGCTACTTTCATGGGAATAAGCATTGGTATTTTATAAGAAACAGTGACAAAATGCTTTTTTTCCCTGACCCAACCTTAACAGAAGCCAGAATATGTATATTGTATTGGACTTGGTGATGGGCTGATGCGTAGGAGTCCAATGTTTTTGTTTGATTTTTTTAGTGTTTTAGGCTTGCTGAATTTTCTGTTGTTATACTGTTATTGAATTCCTGTGCTTTTTTTTGTTTTAAAAGTGCTGTGGAAGGGAACTGAAAGGTGCAGCATTAAATTATTGGTGTTAGTATTTGTTCTGCTCATAGTAGTGTCATGCAATTACTATGCTTTAACACGCGCCCGGTTGGCCGGCTAGATACCCTTCGCTCGGGTGTCGGGGGAGGGAAAGCTAGAGACACCAAATTTACAGGGTGTCTTGACCTATACGTGAACTCACTTAGGCTAGGGTTTCAGCTTCCTAGGTCATGACCTTCAGGTCGAATAAGGTCAAACAAGGTCAAATTCCAGGTTGGTCTCCAAAGCGCCCCTGGAAGCTAGGCAACTTTCTCTAAGCAAAAGACCACAAGCCCATTTGAGGTCATTGACCTCGTTTGACCCTTTGAAGGTCATGGTGACCAAAATGATACAAGACCGCTCTGTGTTTTCATTTGAATAAGCGACAAAGATTACACTAGGCAGTATGTTCCTCAAACAAAACGTTCGGCCAGGGTCGTCTTAGGGCAATGGCCTGTTCTGACCCCTAATAACTTAATGGAAAATGTATAATGCGGTTCCTGCTGTCAATAAATTCGAAATGAGCACCGGAAACTACCCCATATACAGCAAGCCCTACAGTAATAAGTCAGGTTGGTTTTGAACTTGGTCTGACCATCATACCTGACCTTAGGTCAACGTAATTTGCTCATTCAATATTTGTGGTGCCTAAGAAAGCATCTTAGAGCTGTATGTCTTCGTCAAACACTCCGTTGTTGTATCAGGTTGACGATCCCCTAGAAAATGCCTTCGCTGAAACCATGTGCTGACTCTGACCTGCCATAGGTCAGCGACATTACATGATACATCTGAAATTGGTATGTCAAACGATCCGCTATGCAATTTTTACAGCTATGCAAAATTTGGCGCAGCTACGCCGCGCCGTGCAAAAAACATTCGGGAAAAGTCCTGGGGGGTCAATTCCCACATTTGTCGGCAGAGGTGGAACATTGCGCGTCTTTGCTGGGGTCATATATCCACCATATTGTCGAGCTGTCCTTCCCCAATGCCGAGTTGCCTCCCGTCCTGTGGGGTTTGGACTCCCATAATAGGTATGTTCATTGAAATCATGGGAGCTCAATGTTGTGCAGAAGGAACAGAATAAGGAACGGTGCGTATATTACGCAGCTTAAACATACGACGCAACGGGGTTTGCTTCACTTGCATCCCGATAAGGCTATTGTGCCTGTCTGATGTTGCTGGGGACAAACGCCCCTTTTCCAACAGAGGTGAGCGGGCGCACCGTCGCCTGAGCGATGTTGATACTTCCTGAAAATCCCTGAAAATCCCTGAAACAGCCTTGCTTGTAGCCTAAGTGTCCGTCCCGCGCCGTTTGCCCGCCCCGGCGGCTCAGTTGGTTAGAGCGCCTGCATTCTGATCCACCCACCTGTGGCGGGGGGTTTCGAGTCTAACGCGCTCACTATTTGCTCTTGGCAGGTATGGCCTGCGGCTGGTGGCAGCGGTCGCGCTAAAGGTCAGTTGACGTCAGAAGGCAGGACGGACCGTGCCGAGCATTGCGGCACGTCAAGCTTTCGCCGCCAAAGTCTGCCGTTGCCTGGAATTGCGCGATCGGATGGTGGGGGTCAGGGCTCACACAACAAGCACTGCTTAGCGTGAGCGCTGGTCCCAGAGACCCATCCATTCAAAGGGTTCGGATCGGATCCAATTTATAAGAAAGTCACGCGTTGCCTCGCGCTGCGACGGTCACTGGCGAGGACTGCGGATACCCCATACGGCAAGAACTAAACAAGCTCGATAGCTTGTTCGGGCGCGCCTGTGACAGACAAAATGACATGGATTCCCTCTTCAAGGTGACGGAAGAGGTAGGAGGGGTAATACAAGCAGGAGTTAAGTGATATTACCAAACCCCGGTTCAAATCCAGCCACGGTGAAGCCATTTCATCGCTTTTACCCGATTGTCTTCATTTTTAAGCCTTGCGTACTATTCTTGACTCCGCCACTTGAAGTCTAGAGATCATGTCTTAATGACACGATATGACGTCATGGGGATGACGCCAGCTCTGACTTTCAAATTGTTGTCAGCTGAATGCTTGCCACCTGAAACTTTCAAATTATTTGGAATATCTTTTTTCAATACGTGTGCTATCACATCTGAATAATAGCAGAAACACGGGTGCCATTCAAGCCACGGCCAAATTAATTCATATGATGAATTCGCTCCCAATATTTTGTAGTTAGTTACGGGACCCCACAATTTTGTTTTCAATATATTGCTTTTACTTGTAGCGGCCCAACATCTAAACACATACCAACCATTAGCATGAAAGGGAGAAATGGGCGCATTGCTGTGGGCAGAAGACAGTGTAAGGTTGCGTACTTAAAAATGGTCAAACTTATATCACGCTTATAAACCATTACTCACCATTCAGTTACGCTTAAACAGACTTACGCAGTTGAGGTCAGACTTACATGTTTCGCTAGTTTGTTATGACTTTATAATACTCAGAGGAACAACTAGCCCAAACGATATAAATATGTCAAACATAATGCTGTAGGCATTCATTTAACGAGCGTTTTTGAGCACCTTCGGCGCGCAAAACCAATAATTTACAATGAAGTACACATATACGAGGCACTTTTCTATCACATCCATTTCCTTCGGCACGAGTAAAACCAGCTCGTCGTCGCTGTTGTTCCGCCAGGCATTCTTATTTTTCTCACTGAAGCAGTTTGCCTTCGGCCTCAATCCTTTTCAAATAGCAGTTAGCAACTTGTGGATGTCATAACAGACTAGCAGTAGCAACTTGTGGATGTGACATAAAGCTGCGTTGACATAGGTAGTGTGATGTTAAAATTTGGATAAAAATACCAGCCGTTAAAACGCATTTTACGCGATGAAACGTACCTTCCATACAGCAGCAATGCTTTAAACGGTGGATTTGAGACTTAAATCAAAAGAAAATCGAAAATTGGTGGTAGGTTATGCAACGCCTGCAGCAATACATTCATCAAGACTAGGGCAACCCGTCTCCTGGTAACAAATAGTCGTGTCTGCTCACACCGCCAACTAAAAATCGTAACAGCTGAGAGCATAAATGAGGCAATAAACATAAAAGGAGTGTTCCATATTTGTGTGTGATTTTGGGCTGAGATATCCATTTTGAACATCATTCGGTGCAGTTTACAGCCCTGTTTTTCTTAAGTTCTAATACAAGCCAGTTTATGAGCTACACACCCGCGAAGATGTACAGGCTATACCGTGCAAATTATTCCAAAGACATTCTGGCGCGCATGACGCCATGACATCGCTATTCAAATCCTGTCACCCCGAGGGCCAGGGGGCGTTGAAGGCCAGGAATAATAATATTACCATCCAACAATGTAGATCTGGCGTATGTGAAAGCGGTTTCCATACATAATGAATGCCACATTGCTCTCAAGCAATGCTGAGCAGGCTGTGCAAGCTTCAATAACGAATCACGTTTTGTGCTACATAAGATAAGAAGTTGGACGTGATTCTTCCACTAGCCAGTTATTACGAAAAGAAGACATGTAATCGAATAACTTACGAATGACGTCATAGCCAAGTATGTGAGCACAAGTAAGCATATTAAACCCACGGAAAAATATGCAAGAACACCACAAGAAAGGGCCTGACATGGGCAAATAACGACATTTGACTCCGCAAACACTTCCGGTACCGTGCTGCCATCTTTCGATCAGTTCGGAGCACTACAAGTGGCACTTACGCACGGGTAGTTCGGCAGTACCTTAACATAGAAGCATCCAATGACGGAATCAAATAATGACGCGTTGAAGACCATACTTAAAAAACACAGAAACGCTGTCGTCGAGAGCAGTCTTTCTACTTAAACGCGCACCAATGGTCATAAGTGAGTCTATTGCACCAAATCTGATCCCTGCTTCAATATTTTCAAATGCGCGACATCCATTTAACACCCTCCGCGCCTGATGGAGCGCAAAGGTTTCGGAAGCTAAACTCTGAGCTGGGCTGGCCCAGCTCCTTCACGACTGAGCCCGGTCATCCATGTCCCCCACAATACCAATTACGGGCCGCCGACCACGGGCCTGAGTGATCGTTTGCTTCCGGTGTGATGCTGTGGATCGGGGGTGGGAGCGCCTGGCCAGTTCATTTGTGGGCAGTGACCTATTGGACAGGCATTCAACAAACAAAACTAAGCTAATGACGCAACGGAACAGTGACCTATGGTGTCATTTACTACAGATATTATGGGAAAACCGATGGACAGCTCATAACTGCAGCGACGTTCCGGCGGGGGATAGCTCGCTTTACGACAGACGGTACTGGACGGTCCGACGGTCTCGAGATCAAGAGACGCCCGCACAAATGCGTGACCTGGGCCTTATTGACGCCCCTCCAACAGACAGTTGGCCCCTAAGTGGTGGCCCCGCGCCGCAGCAGCAGTAACCCACGTTAGCCCACCCCTGGCCGGCCCCGCGCCGCAGCAGCAGTGACCCACGTTAACACGCCCCTGACTGACCCCGCGCAGCAGCAGCAGTGACCCACGTCAGCACACTCCCTGAGCGGCGGCCTAGCGCCGCAACAGCAGTGACCCACGTCAGCCCACCCCTGACCGGCCCCGCGCCGCAGCAGCAGTGACCCACGTCAGTACACCTCTGGCCGGCCCTGCGCCGCAGCAGCAGTGACCCACGTCAGCACACCCCTGGCCGGCCCCGCGCCGCGGCAGCTGTGCCACGCAGTGATGCACTCTCACCGTCTGAGCCGCATGTTCCGCAGGCAGGCGGCCGGGGGCTCGGGCTCGCACGTGAAGAGCGGACGCGGCGCCGCCCTGTGCGGCTGGTGCGGCACGCTGCGGGTGGTCCGCACCTGGCAACAGGTCACACCGTGTCAGCTCTCATGGTCACATGAGCGGCAAGCGCCGGCGAGGGGAGTGTTTCACACCTGGCCGCAGGTCACGCCGTGTCAGCTGTCACAGTCACACGAGCGGCAAGTGCCGGCGAGGGGAGTGTTTGACACCTGGCCACAGGTCACACCGTGTCAGCTCTCACGGCCACACGAGCGGCGAGCGCCGGCGAGGGGAGTGTTTCACACCTGGCCGCAGGTCACGCCGTGTCAGCTCTCACGGTCACACGAGCGGCGAGCGCCGGCGAGGGGAGTGTTTGACACCTGGCCACAGGTCACACCGTGTCAGCTCTCACGGTCACACGAGCGGCGAGCGCCGGCGAGGGGAGTGTTTCACACCTGGCCACAGGTCACACCGTGTCAGCTCTCACGGTCACACGAGCGGCGAGCGCCGGCGAGGGGAGTGTTTGACACCTGGCCACAGGTCACACCGTGTCAGCTCTCACGGTCACACGAGCGGCGAGCGCCGGCGAGGGGAGTGTTTGACACCTGGCCACAGGTCACACCGTGTCAGCTCTCACGGTCACACGAGCGGCGAGCGCCGGCGAGGGGAGTGTTTGACACCTGGCCGCAGGTCACGCCGTGTCAGCTCTCACGGTCACACGAGCGGCGAGCGCCGGCGAGGGGAGTGTTTCACACCTGGCCGCAGGTCACACGCGTCGGCGGGAGCGGCGATGCGCCACGGGGGGCAAGGGGGGGGGGGCAATGGCCGGGCCTCAAGGACAGCAGGGGCGGGCAGCACGCCTGGCCATTGGTGACCCGATGTCAGGTCACAGCCACACACAGACAGGAGAAGGGCGCATGTGGAGCTGGCTGACCTCGGGTGAAGACACCGTCGCGGGCAGCCAAATGAGGAGAGAGGGGCGGGAGACCAAGCCAGCGACCAGACATCACAAGATACTCGAAGGAGGAGGACCGTAGCGGTGTAATGTCACTAAACGGTCATACCTTGACGTTTTGGGAGCTTCCTGGCGCCCCGAAGGTGCGAAGCGCATGCAAATCGCGGCGTTGTCCAAACCCCGTGTCCGTGGTTGTTGCTAAAGGGCAAGTTCAGAAACCTAATGACCTTCCACTCGTTGCTGCCACTTCCCAGAAAGGGAACACCATATGCTTTAAGTGAAGAGAAAGTTCTGGCGTGGCAGGTGACAAGTCTATTGGCTCGAATCAGTGACAGCGCACCATGCAAATGACAAGAGCTCCATTTGACAGCCATTTATGGTGTCAAAATGCTGGATTCAGATCACATATCCACACTTGATGCGAGCTGGTAGACTTCCACCCGACAACGTCCGGCAAAACAAGCCTCGGAATCGCTCGCGCCATTGGGGCTTGCGTTCCTTACTGCCCTAAAATGTCCATATGGCACAAGTTCGAACAGTGAGAGAAGGGTGTGAGGGGGTGGAGGGGGGTGCCGAGCATCCACGGTGGAAGAGAACGCTGGGAAGAGGCGGCAGATCAGGTACTGCTGTTGTTCGGCTGGCGTTGTTGCACTGGTTCCCAGTACACACAGAACTTCCAGTGCGTGAAATCATAGCTACCGCTTTCAACGGTCTGCGCAGTAGCGGCATCTGATAAGCCAGATGCATAGATCAACGGCAGATGCAGTACGTCATGCCAATGCACATCTGATGTTCAAGCCAACTACAGAGCTTAAGCCATAGCTCTAATTTACGTGCCATGGTTCTGGCGTTACCTCACAGTGAGTTATTGGTTCCCGACAGTGGGTGAGTAACGACGACCGTTTCCCAGCCTTTAATCATCCCCGGCGCAGAAGTGTCACCGAGGACTGCCGGTCGGCCCGCTCAGCGCGGATCCAACAGCGCGCAGAAGGTGGCGCCGACACGCGCTCCCGTCCACACCGCTGGGGCTACCGGGGCCGCCCACACTTCGACACGCCTCACTGCGGGGTCCGAGCCCAGCGTCGGCAGCCAGAGGAAGCTGGGGAGTTCTATGAGCTGGGACACGGCCCAGTGGGAGGGGGACGAGGCACGGTTGGGACCAGCGCCTGGCCACAGTGACATCGAACACAGATTGGCGGCGTGGCAGCTCGACCCACGCACGCACCGCGCAGAATACACCCCACGTGCCGCACCGAGCTCGGGCGATTGCGGACTGATGCTTGGCAAGTCACCATCCCAGTCTCAAGAAACCGGCTTGTTCTCGTTTGAGAACGAGCCATTCTTGTGTACTCTCCAACGGAAAGGTGGGCGAGTCCTCCCCCCCCCCCGCGCCATGAGTATTTCCTACCAAGTCCCATGCAAGGCAGCCATTCCATGGACTCCTTCCCTCAGTCACCTGTGCAGCCCGCAGAGCACCTTGCTATTCCGCTCGCTGGTGCCGTCCCTGGGCTCCCATCATCGACCGTCCTCACCTCTGGCTCAGCCGTCCGCGGCAGGGCGTCACACGAGAGCCGGGTGTCGCCGGCGGCCGTCGACGCCGACCGGCCGACGTGTCCCAGAGTCGGCAGGCAGCGGCAGAGCGCCGGCTCTGGCTGATCCTCCGCCGGCCAGCGCCGGCCGTCCCGGCACCGGCCACAGCCCTCCGGCGACGGCCGGACGCTGGGCGGCGCCACCGGCTGCGCCGACGGAGGGCGCCGGCAGCGCGCGGCAGGAGCTGGTGGCGCCCCCTCCGCCGCGCGGCCAGCGGCGCTGTCGGGCGGCTCTTCCGAGTCGGCGCCGGGCCAGCGGCCCTGGTGAGCCGTCGCCTCCCCGTTCGGAGGGCGGCTGGTGGCCGCGGCCGGTGCCGCCCGCTCCGCGGGCCGGTCGGGCGCGTCGGGCCGCGCAGGCGGCGCCACCGTCGCGCCCGGGCCGGTCCCGTTCTCTGGCAGAGTGCCCTCCTCCCCGGCCGGTAGCAGCAGGTGCGGGTACAGTCGGGAGACCAGCTCATGTAGCCGCCGGTTCGTCTCGATCGTCTTCAACACCTGCTCCAGGGGGCAGAGGCGGTGAGACGGTCAGAAGGGCCACCAGTGACAGACAGTCTCAAGCACAGCCTGAAGACGCACTACCGGCTGTGTTTCGATTTCCTCCACGCCACTGGCGGCGAGACCGGATCTCAGAGATCGCATCACCGACGACTGTATGGAAGCTGCATGGAGTGCACCGTAAATAATCGCGAAGTGAGAACGTCGATCGAACAAAGCGGGACAACGTGCGACAGGTTCCACCTGTGCTAGCGTGCTACGTGTATTCATCACGCGAATTATTATGACTGACAGGGCCTATAACACGCCACACGTCCTGCGAACGACAAAGTATTCTTAGCGTTAAAGCTGATGAACTTTGAATGGCTCGAAATGACGACACACGATTGCGAACAAAACAACAGCCGAAGCGAAAACAGCTATGGCAGGTAGACCTACGGCCAGCACACAAAACACACAAACAAGTTGCGCCGCCCAGCAGCGTCAGCACACCCACCTCTGGCGGCGCGTCGGCGTCCGCCAGCCAGGTGGGCAGCTGCAAAGCCGAGCTGTGCAGCCGCTCCAGCTGCTCACTGCTGACCGGCCGGCCCAGCAGCGCGCTGACGTCACCTGGTGACGCGCATGATGACGTCAGGCAAGTCACCTGGCCATAGGTTGGGGCAACGCCAGGACACAGCCCAGTGGCCACTGATGTCAATTGATGACACGTCATAGTGACGTCAGGCAAGTCACCTGGCCATAGGTGGGAGCTATGCCAGGAGACAGCCCAGTAGTCACTGACGTCACCTAGTGACGTCAGTTAAGTCACCTGCCCATAGGTGGGGACTACACCACGACACAGCCCAGTGGTCACTGACGTCACCTGGTGACGCGTCAAAGTGACGTCAGGCAAGTCACCTCGCCACAGGTGGGGACTACATCAGGAGATAACCCAGCAGCGCGCTGGCATCGCCTGTTGAAGAGCAGTAGCGTGATGGGAAGGGCCAGGCATGGCACGTAGGTTGCTTCAGGATATGTCGAATGATGTCATACTGTCTAGCACGGCCTCCACGTCATCTCATGAGGCAAAATAGCGCCGCAAATGCTCACAAAAAGAAAGCGACAGGCTGAAAGCCAAAATTATCACAGAGGGTGTCAATTTTCACTGAAATCCCATCAGTTTGGGCCAAATTCCCGGGCCATTGTCCAGCATGAAGTGTAAACATCTTGGCTTGGATTGACCTTTGCTACATCCCACTGTGGAATGTGCACCAATACGTTTCGTTATTGCAGTGTTCAAGTGTTTTGGAAGTTTGTTTCCGTAGTTGTTCAGCCGCCTAGCGGAAGTTAGAGGAACCTGTGTTTGGTCATGTCACCGCTGAGGAGTCTGCGAGTGGGGCGACGGCTTTTTAGGCGAGTTCTAGTCTGTGTGGTGCGCCGTGGTTAGCTGTGTGGCTGTGGTGGGCTGTGTGCCGAGCTTCTTGGGTTGACGTCATTGCAAGTAATTGTCTGATTTAATTATGAAGTAATAAGCCTGTGTTAGAGAACGGAGCATTACTGTTATACACCGAAAGCAGGACACATGAACTTATTGCAGGCCAGAGTAAGGCTAGCCGAGAAATCACCCGCATTTTCGCTATTTCTGCCGTCACAGCGGACTCCCATTGAAGCTCAGCCGGCAGCATACATCCGGCGCCCCTCCATACGCACAAGCCGGTGTATTTCGATACCACTAATCTACAAACGCACAATGTCATATTGACGCGACCAAAAACGAACCCATGACAAAAGCGCGGTCGTTGATCGTGTGCCACCGACCAAACAGGAGGACCGCATGATTCGCGGGCTACACAGTTAGAAATACCCCGCAGTTCGACGCCTCAAAGAGCTAACCCGCCGCTGAGCGCGACTAACGAACACATCACTGTTTGACGTGACGCACGTCGGCACAAACACGACCGACCATTGCGCTGTGTACAGCCCTGCGATGCAGTGCTATAGCGGCGGGGGGGGGGGGGGGGCGTCTATTTCACACAGTCAACGACGAGTGTCAACTAGCAACCGTGTTGGTTGTGTTATCGACTCTGGACGCCACCGGTCACGATAATGACTGTCACAAGACGCATCGCACACCAAAACGGCCGACTGATTGTCAATAGCAAAGCGGATTAAGCGAACTACACTGTCACCAGGCACCGGCGTCACGTCAGAACCTTTCCACGTGCAAAAGTTTAAGGAAAAAGTTTCTGATGAAGCTGAGCGGGCTTCGTCCGCCGTTTGTTGGGTATACGTCCAAGGGCGGGACATGCTGCATCCAGTCAATAGAAACAGGCAAGCGTAATGACCACCGTAATGACCACAGCATGAAAAGCTGCTGTGCGCGTGCATGTGAGTGCACGTGCAGATATCCCAGGCGAGCTGAGCTGAGTTACGTGGAGCGACCTCTTCGCCTGGTATCAGCACCGCCCGACGGTGCGGCGGCCATGGAACGGCACGCGGCAACGCGCTGACACGGTACCGCCGCATGCTTGCAATAATCAGCTGTAAAGCTACCCAACACACGTGTAATAATCAGCTGCCCAGCTATCCAACACACTTGCAATAATCAGCTGTAAAGCTATCCAACACACGTGTAATAATCAGCTGCCCAGCTATCCAACACACTTGTAATAGTCAGCTGTCCAGCTATCCAACACACTTGTAATAGTCAGCTGTCCAGCTATCCAACACACTTGTAATAGTCAGCTGTCCAGCTACCCAACACACTTGAAACAGTCAGCTGCCCAGCTATCCAGCACACTTGTAATAGTCAGCTGTCCAGCTATCTAACAAACTTGTAATGGTCAGCTGCCCAGCTACCCAACACACTTGTAATAGTCAGCTGTCCAGCCATCCAATAAACTTGTAATAGTCAGCTGCCCAGCTATCCAACACACTTGTAATAATCAGCTGTCCAGCTATCCAACACACTTGTAATAATCAGCTGCTCAGCTACCCAACACACTTGTAATAGTCAGCTGTCCAGCCATCCAACGAACTTGTAATAGTCAGCTGTCCAGCTATCTAACACACTTGTAATAGTCAGCTGTCCAGCTACCCAACACACTTGTAATAGTCAGCTGTCCAGCTATCCAACACACTTGTAATAGTCAGCTGCCCAGCTATCCGACAAACTTGTAATGGTCAGCTGCCCAGCTACCCAACACACTTGTAATAGTCAGCTGTCCAGCCATCCAACAAACTTGTAATAGTGAGCTGCCCAGCTATCCAACACACTTGTAATAATCAGCTGTCCAACTATCCAACACACTTGTAATAATCAGCTGCTCAGCTACCCAACACACTTGTAATAGTCAGCTGTCCAGCCATCCAACAAACTTGTAATAGTCAGCTGCCCAGCTATCCAACACACTTGTAATAGTCAGCTGCCCGGCTATCCAATACCCTTGTAATAGTCAACTGTCCAGCTATCCAACACACTTGTAATAGTCAGCTGTCCAGCTATCCAGTATCGACGTGTAATAGGTAGCTGTCCAGCTACCCAGCACATGCTAATAATAGTCAGCTGTCCAGTCATCCAGTCCAGTCTTGTAATAGTCAGCCGTTCAATTTTCCAGCACGTGCTTGTAATAGTCAGATGTCCAGCTAACCAGTATTGATGTGTAATAGTCAGCTGTCCAGCTAACCAGTGTCGATGCGTTATTGCCGGCTGTTCAGTTATCCAGCATATACTTGTAATAGTCGGGTGACCAGTTATCCAGTCCAGTCTTGTCATAGCCAGTTTTCCAATTATCCAGCACATCCTTGTAATAGTCAGCTGTCTAGCTAACCAGTATAGACGTGTAATAGCTTTCCAATTATTCAGCACAGGCTTGTAATAGTCAGCTGTCCAGCTAACCAGTATCGACGTGTGATAGTCACCTGTTCAGTTATCCCGCACATGTTTGTGGTAGTCAGCTGTCCAGCTACCCATTTGGGAGAAGAAATGGGCATGTATTAAGCTATCCAGCACATATTCGTAACAACTATCCAGCTGGGCGGTGCATTCATCAGCATTGCACGCGCTTGACGTTTACCCAAACGCATCGTGTACCGCTCTTAATGGCCGGACTGACCCGAGCGTGCATTGTGATATGCTGTCGCAGGTGCCGTGGGCAAAACGCCACAACACTGCTGTCCGGAGAGGTGTCTCCATATGTCTGAGTAATGCACCACCACACAGGAGTGCGGCATCGCCACACGGGGGCACTGCACTACCACACGGGAGTACTGCACCACCACACAGGAGTACGGCACCGTCACACGGGAGTACTGCACCACCACACAGGAGTGCGGCACCGCCACACGGGAGTACCGCACCACCATACAGAAGTACGGCACCACGGCACATAAGGACGGCACCACCACGCGGGAGTACGGCACCAGCACTGAGGAGTGCGGCACCACCACACAGGAGTACTGTACCACCACACAGGAGAACTGCACCATCACAGAAGAGTGCGGCACCACCACACGGGAGTACGGCACCACCACACAGGAGTATTGCACCGCTACACAGGGGTACTGCACCACCACACGGGAGTAAAGCACCACCACGCGGGAGTACTACACCACCCCGCACGAGTACTGCACCACCACAAAGGAGCACGGCACCACCACACAGGAGTACGGCACCACCACAGAGGAGAGTTGCACCACCACGCAAGAGTACGGCAGATAAACACACCCGGTTGCCTCGTGTTAAATCAAGGACATTTTGCTTTTTAAAAAACGTCAAAAACACCCCAGAGATGAGCGGTTACACACAGACACACACACCGGGTACCTGCATGTTATGCAAGCCTTCAGGGGTAGTTCGGGGCTAGCTAGTCCTGGACACATGACTGAATAGGCCAGCGACGACAGGAACACACATCTAACCGGAATCAACAAACAAACGGTAACAGTGGGCAACGACGACAAGGTCAACGATCATATTGTACTGAATTAGGTTCGTATGAATCAAATATGGACATAAAGATCCACAGCATACTTAGGCAGTCGTGAGGGCGGTATCGCTGCCCACCCAGCTGGGGTCAGTATTCCCCACCGGCAGCTGGCAGGCCGGCGCCGCCCACTGACCCGAGTGGAGGGCGGTATCGCTGCCCACCCAGCTGGGGGGTCAGTATCCCCCACCGGCAGCTGGCAGGCCGGCGTCCGCCCACTGACCCGAGTGGAGGGCGGTATCGCTGCCCACCCAGTTGGGGGGTCAGTATCCCCCACCGGCAGCTGGCCGGCCGGCGTCCGCCCACTGACCCGAGCGGAGGGTGGTATCGCTGCCCACCCAGCTGGGGTCAGTATACCCCACCGGCAGCTGGCCGGCCGGCGTCCGCCCACTGACCCGAGTGGAGGGTGGTATCGCTGCCCACCCAGCTGGGGTCAGTATACCCCACCGGCAGCTGGCCGGCCGGCGTTCGCCCACTGACCCGAGTGGAGGGCGATATTGCTGCCCACCCAGCTCGGGTCGCTATCCCCTCCGGCAGCTGTCCGGCCGACGTCCGCCCACTGACCTGAGTGGAGGGCGGTGCGCAGCTGCTCGATGTCCGGCAGCGACTCCGCCTCCGACCGCAAGCTGTCTGAGTCGCCGTCGGCCGAGAGCGTACACTGGCTGGAGCGCTCCCTGTACGCAGAGTGGCCGTTCATGGCGGCGGCTGGGACCATAGCCCCAACTCCACCCGGCCGGGACCAGAACACCACCTCCAACAAGCCGGGACCATAGCCCCAACTCCACCCGGCCGGGACCAGAGCCCCACCTCCAACTAGCCGTGACCACAGCCCCACCTCCACCCGGCCGAGACCAGAGCCTTCCTCACCCAGCCGGCACCAGAGTTCCACCTCCACCCGGCCGAGACTAAAGCCCTCCCCCACTCAGCCGGGAAAAGTCCTCCTCCCCCTCGCCCACCCGGCCGGCACCAGAGACCCTGCCCCACGCTCCATTTTCCACCCGGCCGCGGCGGGTGCGTAGGACAACGGGTGAGGATGGTTGCGCAGCAGTGATAGCACGTGATACGTCTGGAGGTGCCAAGAAAGAATACTATGGAGCGTTTTGGAAAAGTATGAATCCGTTTTCTTCGAGTGTGGTTCTAAGACTTTTGTGTGACTCTTTCCCGGCCACAAACGCCCCCCCTGAAAATGCATGCAACACGTCGTCCGTCACATGCAATTAAACTGAAACCCAAGAAGGACGTTAAGCATTACGAGGGCATGACTGGCAACATTTTCTTAACCACTCGTGTGCTTGAGTTCAGACATAGCTATCCATTCGCGACCGAAGAAGGACGCTACGCATCCCAACAGCATGATTGGCAACGTTTTCTTAACCACTCGTGTGTTTGGGTTCGGACATAAGCTATCCATTCGCGCACGCCGCCCATGCCGAGCGAGCAGACAAGCGGCTGAGCCAACGGATCTGACACGGCAGCGGAGCCACCTCGACCGGGCCGGAGCGTCAATACGAAGACCAACGAGACACGGTGCAGACCAGTGACGCCAACGGTCAATTTAGCCGGAAATGCTGAAATGGCCGTTAATAGCGCTCACAATCGCGTACAAACGGCGCCACAGATCGACCTTGGCGTGGCCGGTGATGGAGGCAAACATGTGTACACAGACGTCGAGCAGTTTCATATTAGGTCAACACTGTACAGTGAAATGACAAACACCGAGCGGGCGCCCGCAAACAGCACTTCGAGGGTCGCAAAAAACGACATGTCGGAAGAAAGGGTATTGACTCAAAAGAGCACATAAACATGCGCTCGCTCGGTCAGACAGGCACAACAAATTAAGAAAGCGGCAAAAAGACATGGCCATGAGACCGATATACGTGCTGGAACGGATTCACAGGACGGTGGCGACAAGCACGCATTCCACTGTACGTTATTCATGAAATTATATGGAAATCCTGCAGCGCCATTTATGAAGAGCACGGTGAGTGCACTTGGGCTTTCGTTTGCTCCCACGTTTTAACACGCACGAACAGCATGAAACGACTCCGAATAGCCACCACGGGTGACAGCGTCTCACCTGTTTTTGTGTTTTGTCCAGTCGAGGTCACGCATCAGCATGCCACAAACGGCGATGTTGAGAAATATGCCGGACAGGACCAGCAGCGCGCCCCGCCACCCGTATTCCTGCAATGACAGACGGACAGCAGGAAAAGACCAGCAGCGTGCCCCGCGACCCGTACTCCTGCAATGACAGATGGACAGCAAGAAAAGACCAGCAGCGCGCCCCGCCAACCGTACTCCTGCAATGACAGATGACTAACAGGAAAAGACCAGCAGCGCGGCCCGCCACCCGTACTCCTGCAATGACAGATGACTAACAGGAAAAGACCAGCAGCGCGCCCCGCCATTCGTATTCCTGCAATGGCAGACGGACGACAGGAAAAGACCAGCAGCGCACCTCGCCACCCTCGCCACCTCGCACCGACAACTGGTCCGTGTCCACTAATACTCGTCTAATGCTGACCAACGTGTTGAAAAACGTGTCTAACAACGATAATTATACGGATGTGTCCACAGCACCCACACATGCCCGCATGCACACACGCACGCCCCACTCCCACAGCCACAGAGACGAGACACGTACCCATATACACGAAATATACGTGCGTGTGTGCGTGCGTGCGTGCGTGCGTGCGTGCGTGCGTGCGTGCGTGCGTGCGTGCGTGCGCGCGTGCGTGCATGCATGCATGCATGCATGCATATGTGTGTGTATGCGCGTTCGTGCATTTAGACAATAGATTTCCTTTGAGCATGTTTCATGGAGCATCAAGAATCTCTGGGCTTTAGCAAGCTATCTGTCAAGCCGTTCAGTGTTTCTAATACACTTGTTTATATCCGGCTGAGGTCCAACGATTCAGCTACACTCGTATAACAGGCCGCATTGGTCGCATAATCCTCACAAACGCTTCGTTTCGGTTCATCTTTGAACCATCACCAGACAGAAATGATACGTTGCACTCAAAAGAACGTTTCATACATATCCAATGATTTGAATGAATACGCAATGTAGCTCGTGAAGTTCGGTACACCTCAGTCAAGCATGTCCAGCTGAACATGTTTCAATGCATGGACAACCTCCTGCGGAAAACATCCACATACTTCACATACATCTAACGTGCCTCACAACTGAGCAAACGCCCACTCCTATCCGTCAACAGTTCTAGTGTGATGTTTCCATGAGCAAATGGGGCTTCTTATGGCATCAGGCGTGCTTTTTACGTTGCATTTTGATGATTTTTGTGTTTTCGGTAAGTTGTGTGCGTGTCGATGTTGTTGATGACACTGTGGCATGCGTTTTGGAGCACTGTCTCGAAGATGCAAAGAAAGTCGCCTGGAAAGAAAAATTGCTGTGATGCCAGTGTAGTTTACACCACGAAGCCTATGCACAACCTCCGCACGGATAGGAGAATTGATATCCTACATCGGTACACTTCAAAATAGCATGCGCTGCTGTCATATCGTTTTGGAACAAAAAGTTGCTTGTTTTATCTGTTCTCTGACTAACAGGAAGTTTGCTAAACCCCACAGCTCCTCGGTGTCGAATCAAAGATGCTTAAAAATGTGTAAATACATTTATTAGTATAGGGTAGGAAGCAAATTGTTGTTTAAGCATTGATAAAACGAACTAAGAGCTACGGCTGGCCGCTTATCTAGCCCGTTTATTTAGTACAAAGCATGGATGACAAAGGAAACGGCGGGCGAGTCACACTGCTACCGATACTGATATTGTAGTCGTCCACTTCCCTGCTGCTATGCTTGGCATGTGTGTCGTGCACCTGATGGGCTTGTTGACTTTACAAGCATTACGTTCGAAACAACACATCCAAGTAAACTGTTGTTTTCGTATTGTCAATATTGACGTGAAACGTATTGACGCAGATTTGGCGTGTTGACGTGAAATTGTGTGCGATCAGGGATGTGATAGGGAAGCCGCAAGCAAAGAACAGCACTAACAGTGGCAGCATAGGCGTACGTTGTTGAACCGTTCGGTATACCGGGATGATGCGGCACAGGGCGACCGATCACGTTCAGGCTTTAGTCACCAAAATCAAAATCAAGAGTTTTTGATTTATGTAAATGGTTTAATCGAGGTGGCCCATTGGTAAAAAAGGCCAAAACATTTCAAAGGCAAAACATTTGTTTTGTCAGCGTCACGACAAAATCGCAGTTCTGCCTTACCACAGATCTGTAATTGTCTATCTAAAAATAATGACATGTTAATCAAAACATTAATATTGAGCAGTGATCAACTTTGCTAAAATTTGGTCTGTGAATAACTCGACTTTTTCAAAACACTTTTGAAGAGTTGTGATAGGATAAAAGACATGTATATCTCTAAAAAAAATTGCAGTAAAACGTCGATCCATATAATTTTATAAATGAGCTCCTGTCAGAAAAAAAACATGATGAACATGAACATGAACAAAACACTTCACTGCCCGATTTGAATTGATTGGAAGAGCCCCCAGTCTGATGTGAGCCGATTGGACGAGCTCTCGGGCTGAATTCGCACACCACGCTGATTGGTAGAGCGCGTCCCGTTCTGACGTGCCTCGCAAACACACGACACCCGGAGTCAAGCGCTTGGGACTACATGGCCCGGGCGTCCCAGGCGTGCCGGCCGGCCAACCCCGACAGCCCACCTGGATCAGCAGCTCCACCAGCGGCGGGAACAGGAAGGTGCCGACGCCGGTGCCGCAGACGCTGATGCCCGTGGCCAGCGAGCGGCGTCGCTCGAAGTAATAGGCCACGATCACCACGGCTGAGACGTAACACAGCGACAGACCTGCCGGCCGAGACACCAGACGGTAACCTGTGATGCCAACACAGCGACAGACCTGCCGGCGGCGTCAATGGGGACGTGCACGCGTAACACAGCGCCAGATCTGCCGAGCTCTCAGCAGCATCGCAATCAGCGCGTCACACAGACCTCGGCAGGGCATGCAAAGAGCGCGTCGCCAGCCTACGTACCGCGTCCCTCACTGAGGAGTGCGTGGATCTCTCTGCTGTCTGTCATAAAGGAATGCGCGGATCTCTCTGCAGACTGTCATAAAGGAGTATGTGGATCTCCATAAAGTCGCTCATGGAAGAGTGCGTTGTTCTTTCCGCGTGAGTGGGAGTGCGTCGTCCTCTCTTCAGTCTCTAGCAGAGGTGTGTGTGGATCTCTCTGCAGTCTCTCATAGAGGAGTGTGTGTTTATCCCTGCAGTCCATCGTAGAAAAGTGTGTTGTTTCCTCTGCAGCCTTCCATAGAGAGTGTGGTTAACTCTGCATTCTCTGATAAATGAGTGTGCGGTTCACTCTGCAGTATTTCACAGAGGAATGAGTGGTTCACTCTGCAGCATCTCATAGATGAGTGTGTGGTTCACTCCGCAGTAGCTCCAAGAGGAGTGAGTGGTTCACTCTGCAGCATGTCATAGATGAGTGTTTCGTTCACTCTGCAGTCTCGCACCGATATGTGTGTGGTCTACTCTGCATTGATGAGTGGGTGGTTCAGTCCGCAGTCTCTCATTGATGAGTGTGTGGTTCACTCTGCAGTATCTCATAATAGATGCTCTCTCTCAGAATACACTCTACACTCACAATACTCTACACACTACACACAACACAATACTACACTCCACACTACACAATACACTCAGATACACTATCTCAGAAATAGGGGAGTGTGTGGTTCACCCTGTAACCCTTCATCTCGACTTCATCTACGGCAGTTCATGACACGCTTGACGAAGTTGACAACAATAAGACCGTAAACAATTTTGAATTAACTTCTGTTACTCGTTTCAACAAAGGCATGCTGCCGAAATACCTACGCATCTATATCTTCATTCTCCCGATTTTCCCCGAAAAATAAGGCCATTTCTACCGTGTTATCTATGTGCATAATGCTCCCCGCAAATGCGCTTAACAACTGGCGTAAATTGAAGATGGCATGGGTATTTGACACTCTGGCCCATCTTCAATAACCGGAATATGTTCAACATCATATATCATCGCATACAACGGTTTGACCTCTCAAGAATCGCAGCACAGCGACACAAGCTAAGCTTTCCCAACGACATGAACTAACGTCATCCAGCGGCAGATCTCACCAGAACGCGCGGGACTTTGGCTCTGTAACTGACCTTTGAGGCACGACTAGGGAACGGCCGGGTTTGGCGACATATTTCCGCATGACCCTGCCTGCGACATCGACGAACTCGAGAACATCGACGAACTCGAGAATATCGACGAGCTCGACAACATCGACAAACTCGAGAACATCGACGAACTCGAGAACATCGACGAACTCGAGAACATCGATGAACTCGAGAACATCACCGAACTCGAGAACATCGACGAACTCGAGAATATGGACGAACTCGAGAACATCGACGAACTCGAGAACATCGACGAACTCGAGAATATGGACGAACTCGAGAACATCGACAAACTCGAGAACATCGACGAACTCGAGAATATCGACGAACTCGAGAACATCGACGAACTCGAGACCAGCGATGGAGGCATTTTCGAGTCCATGGTTTTAAAATATGATGCGTCAAATATCTTTCTTCAGCAGAACTGAGGCAGTTGTGTCGAAAACATATTGATATCGTGTTCGCATTAGTAGAAATAAAGGTGACAAAACGAGTCAACAGATGTCGTCGCGCAGTTTCATCACGACCGTTATCAACAGGACAAGCAAAAGTTGTGAAACGGGGTCACGCATTGGATTCATTTTCTCCGAAGAGTTTGCATTTGGAAGACGGTGATTACATGAAACCTTTACCAATTAAACATATAGAATCGTTCTGACGTGAGACGCAGTCCAATCAAGATCTTGATGACCTGGACGGAGCAGAAGCACACCCCTCTTGCATGTGGCGGGTGGCTTGACATCCCAGTCAACGTCCGGCCAATGGCCGCTCCCAACGGGGAAGAATTTGCTAGGTTTGCCTTTTCGCCGTCAACATAGCCCCACTGTTTGGTCGATTGCCAGAGGGAGCTTCAATGACAGCTTGCAGCATTACATTATCCGTTGCAATCGGCAATAAATAGCAATGCTAAATAAAAAAAATAATTTTGTTTACGAGGGGTACGTTTATCAACAGCTATTCGCAGACCGACTGGAGCGGCTCAGTCAATGTCCCAATCGCAAAAACGTGAAAAGGGAATTGTTACCAATATAAAGCCACGAAGCATGAAAAACATCGCCCGGCGTTAGGCAATGTAGCCGTTCCATCACAGGAGACGCTGCCGTTCCGTTCGTTCCGCCACGGCAGCCAACAATGTCGATATATATCACCATCCCGCGCGAAATGGAACGAGACCTAACTGAGTCGTAGAACGTCAGCCAGCCGTCCAATCTGAGCGTCAATGACATTTCTGGTCAGCTGGCGCCAGCCTACCGACGCTGCACAAAAAGCAGGAGGACGCCGGCGGACAGACTGGCTGCAATGACCGACGCGTGGCTGAATCAAGCGCGGCGACAAGCGGCCAGGTGTGTGCCTCGACCGTCTCGCCCTCCGCGGCCAAGGCAACCGTTGTAATACACCCGTTGAGAAGCAGGTGTGTGGGACAGGTGTGTGCCTCAGCGAGAAACGACAGCCGAGCTAACTGTCAGCTACAGATTTTGCTACTCCACTGCGCTATTGAGCTGCAGAGATATGCGCAGTGCGACTAAATTCTGCAACGGTCTTGCTCGTGTTGCTCTCGTTGCTTTCTCGTGTTGCGGCAACGGTCTTTCTCGTCTTGCAACCTGTCATGCATCCATATTTTGAGGTGGACACTACCTGCACCGAATGTCATCGAAATCGCAGGTCAGGGACAAGCTTGATGAAGTTGACGCTGACTGTCCCATAAACAAAATGTTGGGTCATGTTTTGAGATCCCTGCGAAAATGTGAATTGCAAGAAGGCATCGCATTGTATATCCACCGAGGCACGTAGCGGTACCCGTGACCTGCCATGACCTCATCTGGCCTCGAGTCGGTATCATCAAGAAAACACACTTCGGTGGCATGTATCCTCTGCATATATGTGTGTGCATGCTTCACACGCAATGGCGCTCTTAAAGGAAGCTATTCACGACATGAATATGTTTTGTCGGAACCAATGGCATGTGTTCTCTCTCCCTTTTTCTGGCAGTGACGTCTTTGCTGACCCCAAGGTCACCCCAAATTAATCCAAATACTCGCAAGCATGTGGAAGCGCAGGTACCTGCCATGAAACCGCCCTCCTCCGGTCCCGTCTCGGAGCGAGCGGTCGGCCGGCGCCCCAGGGGCCCGTGACGTGTAGGTCACGTGACCTCGCCCAGGCGGGGATGCGGACCGGTGGCCGGCAGAATGGTCTCAGCCGAGGACTGACTGGACGTGGCCGACCCGTCAAACTGACGAGTTACCAGGTGAAAGTGACACCAAAGTTCAAGTGCTTGTGTTAAGTGTTACGGTCTGTGACTGGAGACAGTCTACACATATACATAGCAAAACATGCACCAATTCACTCGATCGCAATCCTAGTTAAACTATTCGTAGAATTTCACAATAATTGATGTCGTATGAAGAGATCCTAGTCATCCAAGGTGTTTTATGCTGTTCTGTAAATACCTAACAAGCTGTTCGAGAGGTCACCTTTCGCCCCGATTCATCCTTTGTCTTGACGCGGTTTGATGGGGGAAGGGGATGACCCCGCTCACTCCCGGTCCTAAAATACGACAATAAGAGTTTCGCGGAAGAAATCAATAGAGTAGTCGCGGCGTGATTTCCCGATTGGTAATACATCCCATGTTGCTAGATCAATAATGGGGGCAGGTTGCGTGTCAATGCTTCCCGAACATAGCTATAACTTTTTCAGCTTCGCGTGCTCCTATTTACGAAACCACGTGACGATAACAGCAGCGAAAACTTGCACAGGCGTTTGTCTTGTCCCGTTCTGACCACAATGATAAGATGTTGATGCAAATTGAGAAAATATCCATGATGTTAATCGCCGTGCAGTGAGCTTAAAGAATCGTCACAGCTCGAAGGCCAAACATGCTAGAGACACATTTGCTGATTATGTGCAAACATGCGCAATGATGGTCCCAAAGACTACAGAAAATTTGAGCGCAGATACATCACGTGCCGGCGATATCGTCAGAAAGCTTTCGGAAGGGTTTTCCTGACCTAGCATCCACCCCCCTCCTCCTCCATACCCACCACAGGGAGAGGTCCACATCGTCGTTCACACAATCTACCGTTGTGTGGACGATCCTGGCTGTGAGTGAAAGTGGCCTGACCTGTGTCGTAGAACTGAAGAAAGATCATATTTGATGCGCTTTAACTTGATGTTTCGGATGAGTTTCCAAGCTTCGCATTTTTTAATACTATGCGCATGGCGATGGTGAACGTGATATCATGCATTGTTGGTGTATAGGTATCGGACTCCCCATCAGCGGGCGGTAACAGCACAGCCTGGAGGTATCCTGGAGCGTTTTGCGTGAAACTATTCGACCTCATCGATAAGGTTGGCGGGGCTCCTAAAACCATACGGCATGCATGGGTATGCATAGGGGATCCACGGGGATGCAACACATGTAATCCGTTATTAAGGCGCGAACGTCAGCTAATATATCAGTAGCTCACAACTTGCTGGGCTCCGCCGGGCTCTGGCGTTTTGTTACTTGGGCTCCGCCGTTTTGTATTTGCTGAAACAACCCACGCGGAAAATATTCCAATCAGAAGGCCATCCACGAGTGGAACAACGGCAGAGCCCATCAGAAAATTACATCAACAGCATTATAGCTTACCCGGCATCACAAGGCAA